TTACGCAAATTATATTGTGCGACCGGCGCACCATGAGGATGGTGTGCCCGGTCACACTAATGTGCAAAAATACCCTTATCAGCCCTAATTTTTTCAATTCAGCGTTGCCTTGAATCGATTTTCTCAGCCTGGAGCTCAACATGGAGTCCACGATGAAGACCTGATCGATTCTCTCAACCTGGAGCCGGCAATCTCTTCTCCGTCGTTGGCTCTCTTCACCACTGTGCTTTCCGCTGCGATTCTTATCTCCTTCTTCTCCTCTCTTTTTGCTCGCACCCACATCGATGCTCTCTCAGTCGCTGCTTTGGATGCCGGCTACATCCGTCGCCGTCGGCCTCATCCGTCGGTGTACGGAGCTCCACCGCTGCAGAAAGAGTGATGTCGTCGCCATACGAAGCGATCTCTCTGATAAGTCCGTAATTAGGCACGCATTTGATGCGTGTTGGGATTGGATTTTGATGGTTTTCCTAGCTTTAAGGTGTTGCAAGTCTCAATTTTAGCTCAAGTTATGTTTACCGGACGTTGGTTCGAGTTTTGTGTCATTTGGAGTCAAAATCAGGATTTTAGAGTTCGGCACCGGCGCTTGAGAAGAAATCGGGATGAGTTGAGAAGCATTCGAGAGTGATTTGAGAGCTTTGAAGGTCACCGGGAGGTTCACGATGAACATTTGAAGGAAAAAGAGCTCTAGGATTGGCTACGGGGTCAAAAGAAGATGGATGAAGCTTGAAGACGACGATCAGGATGACCTTCTGTCAATCGTTCAAGCATATCTCTTTGTACATGATTCAAGTTCCATAATAAAGCCAACTTCAAGGGATACAAATCATATGAAGACACCTTTGCGAGAATATGAGAGGAAGACGGTAAAAACAGACGATGAAATCAGATGATCTCTGCTGCGATTTCAGAAAGACACCTTCCACCGTTTTGATCATATCTCTTGATTGGATGATTCAAATCACATTCGGAAAATTGGGGTGGATAAAAGACTTCATTATCTACAACTTTCATGAAGGAAGTTTGGTCAAATTCGGAAGTTAAGTAGGCACGATCGTGCCCTCAAAGTCAGACACGATCGTGCCTGAAGAGAAAAGCACCGCGGAGTTACTGCCAGCCAGGCACGTTCGTGCCTGCCCAAAATGCGCGTTTTTGCTCCGGAGGCACGATCGAAGGGACGATCGTGCCTGGCATCGTGCCTGGCTCCGAAAAACCTAATTCAGCTCAAATTTCACCCGATTTTTCTATTTAAACAGTCTGTAAACCCCCGTTTTCAAGGGGGAGCTTAGAGAGAGTGCCTAGCACGAATTTTAGAGGGCTTTTCAGCCTTGTTCATCAATCTTTTGGGATTCTTTGTAAGTTCTACCTTTTTAATTAATGACAATTAATTCTTTTTATTCCAATTCTATTGATTCTTCAATTATGAATTGTGAGTAGTTTTAATTAGGGATTTGGGATTGATGAAGGGGTTAATCATGATGTATGGCTAGATTCTTTTCGGTTTAATTGCATGAATGCCGTTTAATTTGTATTTGAATAATTTAATTGATATCTTTTGTAACGTAGAATCGCGACTAGAATTACAATTGCATGTAGAATAAATTAAGAGAGATCTAATTTGTTCTAGGACACATTCACACACACTTAATCGTTCGCTAAGATATTAGTAGCGATTAAGGGGTCGTAAGCTCGCTCGTCTTGGCAATAATTTAGGATCCTGTCGCATGAGAGATCAGCCTGGTCCCCTAAATTATTGTACTCTACGCCGCGAGAGCGGTAAGAACTTAGTAATGATTAGCTAGTCTCAATTAAATTAATTTCATGTAATTAGGCCTGATCTGCCAGAAATCTGGTTACCTCGGAATCGATCCCTGTTCCCTTCGTCATTAATTAGAAAGAACCCCCTAGTTTAATTGTTCGCATTAGTTTTATTTTCCAAACCAATCATATCTCGCACGACGCATTTTATTTATTTATTTTTAATCACTGAATTTAATTAATTCTTGATTACCTTTTGTCCGTCCCTGTGGAGACGATACTCGTACTTACACCACTATATTACGATCTATTTTAAGTGCGAGAAAACACACATCAGTTTTTGGCGCCGTTGTCGGAGACGGTGTCGGTTTTAAGGGTTAATTAATTTCAGCGAGATTTTTTTTAGTTAGTTTTCTTTATGTTCTTCGTAGGATTTTCTGTGCTAACCTTTCAGGTTTTTTTCAAAGAGGCATGAGATGAACCCATTCAGCCAAATTCCTAGAGGAAGTCCTTTTCCCCCAAACATCCATGAAATTTTCACCATATACGCCTGATGGATTATATGGACTCCGACCCCCCGGTATGCCGACTACTAGGCCTGGACAGCGGCCCACACACGTTTAGCGGATATCATTAATATTATTGTACATTATTATTATTATTCAAATGTTCTAGATTAGCTTTTTATACTATCAGCACATTTATGTAACCGGGTCTGTCAGGCCCGTATTAGAGTCCCAGACCCGGATTTTCCCTATATATACTCCTTATAGGAGGCTTGTAATTCACAATTCATTCAACATTATACACATTCTTCTCCATTACTCTTCTTGATTATTGTTCAATCTCTCCCTGTTTATACAATATGGGTATCAATTATCCAACAATGGTGCTCTCGTTGAGAGGTTGAACACAATCAAGTGAGAAAACCTCCCCAAATTATCAAAAAAATCTTCTGTCACAAAAAATCTGTCAAGATCTCTGTGAAAATGCAAGAAACTGTTCTGGAAAATACAGGAAAAAAAAGGAATCTGGAGCTGGTCTGCTACTCCGGGTCATCACCGTCACTCAGGCAGCTGTTTTGCGCAGTCCACTTAAGCTTGTCTGCCGATGCTCCGGCTCTTGCTGCCCGTTTCCAGATCTTGCTGATACTCCTATGGATCTTGTTGTCTCGTGGTCGGTTCTCCGCCTTGGTTGCAGCACCTCCAGATCGAGAGCTTCCGCCATTAAGGGCTGCGCTAGAGCTCTGCTCACGACCTAAGCACTAACGACAACACCTACTTCCTCCGAGGTAGCGTCGTGTCGCCCGCCTCTGGTCTAGCACCCCTGCCGCCGGGTAGCCACCACCGACACAGATCTCTCCAGCTGCCATGAGCCGTCGACTATAGTTTCCAGATTGGAGTCTTCAATTTCTGGATCTGGAAAAGGCGAGCTTTGCACACCAAGCTCCTCCATCAGTCATCGGCGTACGACGACGGCCACCACGTAACGACGGCACCTGCGGCTCGCTCTGGTCTCCACCAGGGTCGCGGCAACACCGCTCGCGGCTGTTTCCTTCTACCCAGTCGCTTTGCCGGCAGGCGACTCCAGACGCCGGTTGCAGCGGACTTCGCCACCGCGCTGGCCAGCAAGTCGCAGCACCGTCACTCGTTCTCCCACCTCAGTACGTTCCAGTGCCGCTCGTTCTTAGGTGCCGCCGATTCCTCTCTCTTTGGAGACGGCTCAGCTGGACGAAGGTCGCTCCTTCCCAGCGACGTCCATGGAGACGCATCAGGCACGACATTCGAGGACATCCACTCTCTGGTCGGCGGGATCCAGATCCGCATTCCATCCTTTCCGGTGGTTGCGATGAGGACAACTAGTTATGACCTGCCGGCATCATATGTAATGGGCATATGAATGGGCATCACAAAAGCCCTGACCAAGTCGGGCATGAAGACAAAACCTCGACCAAGTCGGGTACGAAGACCGGTCTTAGTCATTCCTTGAGTGGCGACCGTTGCTTATGAATGGCTCACACATCCATTCTACTAAGTATTTTATCATTACATTAACAATTCACATCTCCACTTGTTTCAAGTGACGAACTCCCGATCGGGAACATAAATTCCAAGAAAAAAATTAATATATATGATAAATGTGTAGGTACGAAGATGACATTACTCATTTTCACCTCGTCTCCACTTGCCTCAAAGAGTGGGGACTGGGGGACTGAGGGGTCAGAGTTTCTAGATGAGCAGAAAACATCACGCAAGAGCAGGAACGAGAGCTGAGTCAGTTGAAGAGGAGCTGAGCTAGATTGATTGTGCCGGAGGGGATTTACCTTCCTTGTTTCATGTTGGGGGCGCTAGGTGTACTCTTTTTCCCTTTATTAGGATTTTTTCCCACTGGGTTTTTCCTAGTAAAGGTTTTTAACGAGGCACCTCCCCATAATGGACAAGGGTGGTGGTCCCCCGGCCGAAGAGGAAGAACGTTGCAGATACAGTTTGGACTACTCCCTTTCGCCTCGAGTACTCTCGACTCAGGGAGTGGGGGACTCCTTGTGACACCGCACCCGAACGTCCTTGAAAATTCGATTTAAAAATTTAACATTTATGTATTGAATTTCCGATTGCCAAACAATTGTAAAACGATTAATGTTTTACGTAGCGCATGACTGAATATCGTACTGTTCAAACTCGTATGATAGTGTCGGGTTTGCAAAGACTTTTCGGGACTTATTAATAAATAAAAGAGCCCAATATTATCTAAATAAGTGATCGAATGATTAAAGAAGAATACCAATGCCTACAACCCTATATTTGGCATTTTTGAGCTAAATAATGGGAGTAGGATTTTCCTTCTATAATATCCATCAAGTAAATTATTGGGATGAGCCTACACATATTGGAGATCAATAATGTGATTTAGGAAGTTGACTTGTTCTAAATAAATTAGGATGAGTACAAAAAGACATCTTTTGACAAAGATAAAACAATATGACCCGTTTTCCTCATTTTTGGAAGTATTGGTAGATAATTTGAATCCCAAAATGATTGGGATCAATTGGGAACCACTCCACATGACATTAGTACCTGCAAGACAAATAAAAATGGGTTAGGAAACTTACCTTGGCCGACCACCATGGAGAGGAGCTGCACAAGACTTGATAGGAATCAAATTTTGGGGCCACCACCACTGTTTTCGCACAAACAGGTGTGCTGTTTTGTCTCCCTTCATTTTGAGAGTTGTACTCGTCCAAATGAGGTGTATAAGGTGTCCTTGGATAGCCTTTGAAGTCTAGTATCTCAATTGAGTGGTCTTTGTTCGAGGAGAGAAAGATTATCTTACAAAAATCGAGCTGGAGTGAGTGGTGGTCTGTGAACTCGAGCTGTGAGAGTGCTGAGACTGTTTGGTTGATATCTCGAGTTTTACAAATCCAATTAAGGCGTGTGAGATACCCACAGAAAGCTCTCAAGACGAGGAATCCGTGAAGGTCTGGTTTGCAGGAATCGGAGTTGTGGAAGGCTTCCAAATCGTCCGATCAAAACACAACCTCGCAGGAGAGGATTTAATCTTCTAAAAGTGAGTTTTAACCCCAAAACTTTACCTTTCATTTTCCAAATGATATGAACGATTGGTGGGACTATCATACACTAATACAAGTGTATAATATGTCCTTATAAAGTTATTTTATTGATGTAAAGGTTAGATACTAACCTAGAGCAAATCTTGGAAAAACTAGGAAACGAGTTGACCGGGAAACACCCGTTCTAGGGGCTGTTTTCGTATCAACGATTAAGGGTTGAACTAGCACCTTGAGGAGGCTGTTTAACACTCATATTTGAGCAAGGAATCAGTTCCAAATCCACCTTGACCAAAGCTTTGACCATTGGACCAAGAAGGGAAAGTTTAAAGCTCAATTGAGGTGAGGATTGACATCTAATTGCTTACAACTTGTAGGTTAAGCATGAGATTACCTAAATGCTTAAATCATGATTTTTCATGGATTATGATGATTATATATTGATGAAATATTGATATAGTTGCCAAAGAATGAAATTTGAAATGATTTGAGAAGGTATGAATAATATGAGATTAAATGAGTATAAATGAACTATTTGTGAAAATGGGCATTTTTCTCATGTATGAATTATGTGGATACATAAATGAATATTTGTGTATTGAGAATGAATGTTTAAGTTGCTGCTACATAAGTATAAATATGTAGAGAATTACAAATAACAAGGATAATGGTTTGATAACAATAATCTTAATAGTATTGAAATACTAGTTAATGATTATTGGGATTTATTGATTAAATTGATCCTAGGGATTGGATTGTATGAAAGGTGCTTGAATATAGTTCAAGTGTATATAATAACTTAGTATGGAACTAAGGTTAAGTTATGGGAAGTCTTTAAGGATGACCCATGGTAGTTTAATGATATGTCAATTCTAGGCATAGGGTTGCTTGAGAATTGGACCTTAATGCACGGTGATGTGATAGAGCCGAGCTCTAGAATGCATGTAAGGGTAGACTTGGAGTCTATGTATTGTATAGCTAGAGCCGAGCTCTAGGACTTGCGTGGTGATGTGGTAGAGCCGAGCTCTAGAACGCAAGGTAAGGAAATTGACCCGAGGTATATGAATTGTATGGTGACGTGGTAGAGCCGAGCTCTAGAATACAATGTCATGTACTAGGGTTGGACTCTAGGAGTTGTCGTGGCTTATAGCCACGGGGGTTGGGAATGGTGATTTCCAAATGAAAACGGGCCCACGGGCCGACTACTTGACTTTTATATAAAGTAAGTATATTTTTAAACGGGGTAACTTAGGGTTACAATCATAATGTACTATCACCCTACTTGAGGGTCTTGTGTTTGAAATACTTGTTGTATATCTATTAGATGCCTGCCACACCAGTACTTTATAGCCGTATAGAGTACTGACCCCTTCGGGGGCGTCCCACCACCATTTCAGGTTGAGGCTAGAGCTTGCTTCCTGTGCTCGTTGATCGAGTGATTCCTTGGAGAGAAGACTTGGTTCGTGCTTCCTCCATTCTGTTTTTAAATAATATTAAACTTGCTCATGGATATTTTACTTTAGAGCCTGCGTGCTCATGTTTGCCCTGTGTGGCCCTTTTGTTTTAAACAATGTTTTTCCGCTGCGTATTCAATTGTTTATTATGTATGTTTATGGATGACTTATGTGTGAATGATATTCATGACGCCTTGTATAATATGAATGTGTTGGACTGCGGTTGACTATTCGTATTGTACGGCGGGTTGTTGACGTGTCCGGGGAGGTCCGGGGCGTGACAATTAAGTTGGTATCAGAGACTTAGTCCATAAACTGCATAGTGAAGTCTCAAAATTCTCTTTTCAAAATGATATTGAAAACCATGAGCATAGAAGTTTTGTACTTGGAGAGCTTTTGGTACTTGGGTTGCAAGGTCTCTAATTGTTAAGATGGTACCCTTAGCAATTGGTATGGCGGTGACTCGAGCCAAAATGTGTCTTAAGTACGTATCCGTCAATTGACATTTGATACGAGTCTAACGACTCTTTCCAAATTTCTTTCAGAGATGGACCGTGGTGGCAGGATTACTAGGAGAAACCCGACGGGCCGTGTACCAGTGGAGACTGGACAGGGCAGTCGAAGGACCTCTAGGGCATCTAGAAGAGCTGGCCGTGGAGGCCGATCACAGACCGTGAGTGACGGTCATGTTGACACGGAAAGTGAGACCTACTGGTCCTATGAGGACTCGACTTACCAACCGGAGACAGAGCCGGTTGAGACCCCTTATGAAGGGGATGATGACGATGTAAGTGATGAGGAGGAAAATGGCTCCTTAGCACGGATCGAAGCACTACTCCAACAATACCACAGGGAGCGTGAAGAGAGGAGGCAACGCCGAAGACGCCGAGCGGGGCAACCTTCGGGCATGGCTTCAAGAGGAGGAAGTCATGGTGCATCTAGAGTCCATGTGGAACCACATGGAGGCCAAAATGATGGAGGTCCAACCATAAGGATCTCCAAATTTATCAAAGAAGCAAGGGATTTGGGGTGCAAACCCTTTGATGGAGCAGGGGACATTTCAGTTGCAGCACAATGGATCAAGAGGCTAAATGAAGCAGCCCTTGACATGCAAATCGCGCCGAATCTCAAACTGAGAATTGCGGTAAGATTGCTCGAGGGGATGGCATCCAAGTGGTGGGATGGAACCAAGAGCAAGTACGGTGAGACCGTCGTTTGGGAGGACTTCCAACGGGAGTTCTTTGCCCAATATTATTCGGATTTTGAAGTGAACAAGAAGGTGAGGGAATACACCCTCCTAACCCAAGGGGGTAATATGACAGTGAAGGAACTTGAGTACAAGTTCCGGGATCTCGCCGATTACATACCGGAGTATGCTTGTGACGAGAACCGAATGGTAAACCACTTTTGGGATGCTCTTGACTTGGAGATACGTGATAGGGCAACACAATTGCCTAATATGACTTTCGCCCAAGTGGTTGACCAAGCGTTGAAGGGGGAGAAACAGTGGGAGGAGAGGAAGAAGAGAGACGCCGAGGAGGCGAAAAAGAGAAAGTGGGAGAGTCATGGCTCCCAAGGTTCCAACAAAAAGGGGAACCATGGAGGAGGATCTTTCCGGGCACCGCTGCCACCGTCTAGGGGGAACCAAGGCCCGAGTGGGCAAGGCTCGAGGTCTCAAACCTCGGTGATAACTCGTTGCAACAATTGCAAGAAGAATCACTCCGGTAAGTGTCGCGACCCCCCTAGATGTTTCCAATGTGGGGATGCCGGGCATTTGAAGGCGCATTGCCCACAATTGGGTGGGACAAGGACATCGGGACCGAGCAGTGGCCCGACGGGTACACGGAATCAAACCGGAGCGTCTCAAGCGAGCCGGGGACATGGGGGAGCAAGTGCGAGCAACGCGCCATCCGTGAACCAAGGGAGGACCCAGGCTAGGGTCTATGCGATGACGGAGGCGGATGCTCAAGCTAACCCGGACTCCGTTGCAGGTATTGCCTCTCATATACTAGTGTTTTATCCTTAATTAGTCCATAAATTGAGGATACTAATCGCTAGGATCATTGCACGAGGTTTTGGGGTCGAACCGGGGGATTTCGGGCAACTTCAGGCGGCTGGGACCCAGGCACGATCGTGCCTAAGGCAGACACGATCGTGCCTCCAAGTCAGTAGCTGCCCAGGAATATTCCCAGCCCAGGCACGATCGTGCCTAAGGCAGACACGATCGTGCCTACAAGGCAGTAGCTGCCCAGGGTTTTTCTCCAAACCAGGCACGATCGTGCCTAAGGCAGACACGATCGTGCCTCCAAGTCAGTGGTTCCCAGGATTTTTCCAACCCAGGCACGATCGTGCCTAAGGCAGACACGATCGTGCCTCCAAGGCAGTAGCCCCAGGGCGTTTTCCTGAGCTAGGCACGATCGTGCCTACCCGGGCACACCGTGCCTGGCACCCAGATTGCCGAAACCCGATTTTTTCGCATCGTTTTGCGACGTTAAGGCCTCTTCTTGATCTCTAACGTGCGTGTGAACATTGCAACCTTCTATAAATGAGTAGGGAGGATAGGAAAGATGTCTTACATGGTTCATGAATGTAGGGACACTAAAGATTAACGGGAAGGATGCACGAATCCTTATCGATACCGGAGCGCAACGTTCATTCGTGAGTGAGGCGTTTGCCGAGAGCTTAGAGATGCAATCAATACCAATGACACAAACCTTAGTGGTATCAACCCCACTAGGGGAAGACGTTGAAAGAAACAATTACTATCCATCTTGTATGGTGGAAATCGGTGGCCAAACCTTGATGTGTGATTTCGTACCGCTGAGTATGATGGAGTTCGATGCAATCCTAGGGATGGATTGGCTAGAAAAGCATCATGCTAGGGTAGATTGCTACACAAAGGTGTTGGAACTCGAAGGCACACATGGGGACACCCTACGCTTCGAGGGGGACCGCGGCAAATCAAATAGTTGTATCATATCCGCCGTGAGAGCGAGAAATATGATGAGGAAGGGATGCCACGCATATCTAGCATACGTGGTTGACAAAACCAAAGAGGGAACGAACATCGATGATGTGAGGGTGGTTTGTAAGTATCCGGATGTCTTCCCTAAAGACCTACCGGGGCTTCCACCTGACAGAGAGATTGAATTTGTGATCGAGGTCGAGCCTGGTACCAAACCAATCTCCATACCGCCATACCGGATGGCACCCGCTGAACTTAACGAGTTGAAAACCCAATTGCAAGAGCTTTTGGATAACGGTTTCATTAGACCAAGCCACTCCCCGTGGGGAGCACCGGTTCTTTTTGTGAAAAAGAAAGATGGGACACTTCGAATGTGCATTGACTATCGTCAACTGAACAAGGTCACAATCAAGAATAGGTATCCGTTGCCTAGGATTGATGACTTGTTTGATCAACTACGAGGAGCAACCGTGTTTTCGAAGATTGACTTAAGGTCGGGGTACCATCAATTGAAGATTAAGGAAGATGACATACCAAAGAGTGCTTTCCGCACAAGGTATGGGCATTTTGAGTTCCTTGTTATGTCGTTTGGGTTAACAAACGCCCCGGCGGCATTCATGGACTTGATGAACCGAGTATTTCATAAATACTTGGATCGATTCGTGATTGTGTTCATAGATGACATCTTGATTTACTCAAAGAGTGAAGAAGAGCATGAGGAGCACTTGATACTTGTTCTTGAAACACTACGGGAGAAGCAACTCTATGCCAAATTTTCTAAATGTGAATTTTGGCTAAAGGAGATTGGCTTCCTCGGGCACGTGGTTTCGGGATCGGGGATTGCTGTTGATAACAAGAAGATAGAAGCCATTACTGAATGGGAGAGGCCAAAGAACGTCAAGGAAATTCGTAGTTTCCTTGGATTGGCAGGCTACTATAGAAAGTTCGTGGAAAAGTTCTCTGTTTTGGCATCGCCATTGACGAAGCTCACTCGTAAAGGAGCTAAGTTTGTATGGGATGACAAATGTGAGAAAGGGTTCATGGAACTAAAGAAGAGATTGACTGAGGCACCGGTACTTGCATTACCCAAACAAGGTGTGGGGTACGATGTCTATAGCGATGCGAGCATCCAAGGGCTCGGATGTGTACTGATGCAGAATGGGAGGGTAATCGCCTATGCTTCACGACAATTGAAGAAGCATGAGGTGAATTATCCTACTCATGATTTGGAGCTCGGGGCAGTGGTATTTGCACTGAAGATATGGAGACATTATCTCTACGGGGAGACATGTCACATATACACTGATCACAAGAGCTTGAAGTACGTGTTTACTCAGAAAGAGCTAAACATGAGACAGAGACGGTGGATGGAGCTGATAAAAGACTACCATCTAGTGATAGAGTATCACCCAGGCAAGGCAAACGTGGTGGCAGATGCTTTGAGCCGGAAGAGCTCGTCTGGGGCATTGATAACTAATTTGAGGGCATTAAGAGCCCAACTGGAGGTAACCAGCGATGGTGCCTTATTGGCACGATTTGAGGTGAGACCCACTTTACTTGATGAGATCAAGAAGGGTCAGGAAGCCGACGAAGAACTTATGAAGGTCCGGGAACGCATGCAAGCGGGGCCGGTGGAGGATTTCAGGGAAAGAGATGATGGTCTCTTGTTATTTCGTGACCGAGTGTGTGTACCGTCAGATGATGAGCTCCGAAAGTCCATCTTAGAGGAGGCTCATTCATCGGCTTATGCCATGCACCCGGGGGGCACGAAAATGTACCGTGATTTGAAGGAAAGTTACTGGTGGTCTGGAATGAAGAGGGAAATAGCCGAGTACATCAGTCGGTGCCTTACTTGTCAACAAGTTAAGGCAGAACATCAGCACCCAGCAGGCTTATTGCAACCACTCTCCATCCCTGAATGGAAGTGGGAGCACGTCACTATGGATTTCGTGGTAGGCTTACCACGGACTATCAGGAACTATGACGCGGTTTGGGTCGTTGTGGATAGGCTCACAAAGAGTGCACACTTCTTGCCTATCAACACTACCTACCCACTAGAGAGGTTAGCCAAATTGTATACGGATGAGATCGTGAGGCTGCATGGGGTCCCGGTGACCATTGTATCTGATAGAGACCCACGATTCACATCACGTTTTTGGCCGAAATTCCAGGAGTCTATGGGAACGAAGTTGAAGTTCAGCACTGCTTTCCATCCACAGACGGATGGGCAGTCTGAAAGGGTTATACAGATCCTAGAAGACATGCTGAGGGCTTGTGCATTGGAGTTCCAGGGGAGTTGGGACAACCACTTAGCACTTGTGGAGTTTGCCTATAACAACAGTTATCAGGCAAGCATCGGCATGCCTCCATACGAGGCATTGTATGGGAGGAGGTGCCGTACACCGTTATGCTGGGACGAGGTTGGCATGGCCAAACTCGAGGGTACTGAGTTGGTGGAGGTCACCAAATCAAAGGTGAAGTTGATTCGAGAGAGACTCAAGGCGGCTCAGGATAGACAAAAGAGTTATGCAGATAAGCGTCGAAGAACCTTAGAGTTTAAGGTTGATGACGAGGTATTCTTGAAAGTTTCTCCTTGGAAAGGGATCATTCGGTTCCAAACCCGAGGAAAACTTAACCCACGATATATAGGTCCATTCAGAATTATAGAGAGGATTGGGGCCGTTGCATATCGTCTACAATTGACTCCTGAGTTAGAGAAGATACATAATGTGTTTCATGTATCCATGCTTAAGAAGTATGTGCATGATCCCTCTCACGTATTGGAGAAGCCACCTGTAGAGGTACGTGAGGATTTGAACTACGCTGTTCAACCTATCAAGGTCACCGATAGAAAGGTGAAGAAACTGAGGAGCAAGGAAGTCCCAATGGTTAAAGTCCTGTGGAAGAGCGATCGGGTCGAGGAAGAAACATGGGAAACATAGGCTTTGATGAGGAAGCAGTATGCTTTCCTATTCGAGTAGAGCTGTGAATTTCGGGGACGAAATTCCTGTTAAGGGGGGGTGAACTTGTGACACCGCACCCGAACGTCCGTGAAAATTCGATTTAAAAATTTAACATTTATGTATTGAATTTCCGATTGCCAAACAATTGTAAAACGATTAATGTTTTACGTAGCGCATGACTGAATATCGTACTGTTCAAACTCGTATGATAGTGTCGGGTTTGCAAACACTTTTCGGGACTTATTAATAAATAAAAGAGCCCAATATTATCTAAATAAGTGATCGAATGATTAAAGAAGAATACCAATGCCTACAACCCTATCTTTGGCATTTTTGAGCTAAATAATGGGAGTAGGATTTTCCTTCTATAATATCCATCAAGTAAATTATTGGGATGAGCCTACACATATTGGAGATCAATAATGTGATTTAGGAAGTTGACTTGTTCTAAATAAATTAGGATGAGTACAAAAAGACATCTTTTGACAAAGATAAAACAATAGGACCCATTTTCCTCATTTTTGGAAGTATTGGTAGATAATTTGAATCCCAAAATGATTGGGATCAATTGGGAACCACTCCACATGACATTAGTACCTGCAAGACAAATAAAAATGGGTTAGGAAACTTACCTTGGCCGACCACCATGGAGAGGAGCTGCACAAGACTTGATAGGAATCAAATTTTGGGGCCACCACCACTGTTTTCGCACAAACAGGTGTGCTGTTTTGTCTCCCTTCATTTTGAGAGTTTTACTCGTCCAAATGAGGTGTATAAGGTGTCCTTGGATAGCCTTTGAAGTCTAGTATCTCAATTGAGTGGTCTTTGTTCGAGGAGAGAAAGATTATCTTACAAAAATCGAGCTGGAGTGAGTGGTGGTCTGTGAACTCGAGCTGTGAGAGTGCTGAGACTGTTTGGTTGATATCTCGAGTTTTACAAATCCAATTAAGGCGTGTGAGATACCCACAGAAAGCTCTCAAGACGAGGAATCCGTGAAGGTCTGGTTTGCAGGAATCTGAGTTGTGGAAGGCTTCAAAATCGTCCGAGCAAAACACAACCTCGCAGGAGAGGATTTAATCTTCTAAAAGTGAGTTTTAACCCCAAAACTTTACCTTTCATTTTCCAAATGATATGAACGATTGGTGGGACTATCATACACTAATACAAGTGTATAATATGTCCTTATAAAGTTATTTTATTGATGTAAAGGTTAGATACTAACCTAGAGCAAATCTTGGAAAAACTAGGAAACGAGTTGACCGGGAAACACCCGTTCTAGGGGCTGTTTTCGTATCAACGATTAAGGGTTGAACTAGCACCTTGAGGAGGCTGTTTAACACTCATATTTGAGCAAGGAATCAGTTCCAAATCCACCTTGACCAAAGCTTTGACCATTGGACCAAGAAGGGAAAGTTTAAAGCTCAATTGAGGTGAGGATTGACATCTAATTGCTTACAACTTGTAGGTTAAGCATGAGATTACCTAAATGCTTAAATCATGATTTTTCATGGATTATGATGATTATATATTGATGAAATATTGATATAGTTGCCAAAGAATGAAATTTGAAATGATTTGAGAAGGTATGAATAATATGAGATTAAATGAGTATAAATGAACTATTTGTGAAAATGGGCATTTTTCTCATGTATGAATTATGTGGATACATAAATGAATATTTGTGTATTGAGAATGAATGTTTAAGTTGCTGCTACATAAGTATAAATATGTAGAGAATTACAAATAACAAGGATAATGGTTTGATAACAATAATCTTAATAGTATTGAAATACTAGTTAATGATTATTGGGATTTATTGATTAAATTGATCCTAGGGATTGGATTGTATGAAAGGTGCTTGAATATAGTTCAAGTGTATATAATAACTTAGTATGGAACTAAGGTTAAGTTATGGGAAGTCTTTAAGGATGACCCATGGTAGTTTAATGATATGTCAATTCTAGGCATAGGGTTGCTTGAGAATTGGACCTTAATGCACGGTGATGTGATAGAGCCGAGCTCTAGAATGCATGTAAGGGTAGACTTGGAGTCTATGTATTGTATAGCTAGAGCCGAGCTCTAGGACTTGCGTGGTGATGTGGTAGAGCCGAGCTCTAGAACGCAAGGTAAGGAAATTGACCCGAGGTATATGAATTGTATGGTGATGTGGTAGAGCCGAGCTCTAGAATACAATGTCATGTACTAGGGTTGGACTCTAGGAGTTGTCGTGGCTTATAGCCACGGGGTTGGGAATGGTGATTTCCAAATGAAAACGGGCCCACGGGCCGACTACTTGACTTTTATATAAAGTAAGTATATTTTTAAACGGGGTAACTTAGGGTTACAATCATAATGTACTATCACCCTACTTGAGGGTCTTGTGTTTGAAATACTTGTTGTATATCTATTAGATGCCTGCCACACCAGTACTTTATAGCCGTATAGAGTACTGACCCCTTCGGGGGCGTCCCACCACCATTTCAGGTTGAGGCTAGAGCTTGCTTCCTGTGCTCGTTGATCGAGTGATTCCTTGGAGAGAAGACTTGGTTCGTGCTTCCTCCATTCTGTTTTTAAATAATATTAAACTTGCTCATGGATATTTTACTTTAGAGCCTGCGTGCTCATGTTTGCCCTGTGTGGCCCTTTTGTTTTAAACAATGTTTTCCGCTGCGTATTCAATTGTTTATTATGTATGTTTATGGATGACTTATGTGTGAATGATATTCATGACGCCTTGTATAATATGAATGTGTTGGACTGCGGTTGACTATTCGTATTGTACGGCGGGTTGTTGACGTGTCCGGGGAGGTCCGGGGCGTGACACTCCTGATGGATTATATGGACTCCGACCCCCCGGTATGCCGACTACTAGGCCTGGACAGCGGCCCACACACGTTTAGCGGATATCATTAATATTATTGTACATTATTATTATTATTATTCAAATGTTCTAGATTAGCTTTTTATACTATCAGCACATTTATGTAACCGGGTCTGTCAGGCCCGTATTAGAGTCCCAGACCCGGATTTTCCCTATATATACTCCTTATAGGAGGCTTGTAATTCACAATTCATTCAACATTATACACATTCTTCTCCATTACT